ATTTCATGGACGTTCATGACATGTTTCATGAACGCCCATGAACGTTCATGAAAACAAATGTCATGATAGCCCATGAACGTCCATGGAATGTTTCATGGACGTCCATGGTCTTTCATGAAATATTTCATGAACATCCATGAACGAACGTCCATGGAATGTTTCATGAACGTTCATGAAATATTTCATGAACATCCATGAACGAACGCCCATGAAACATTTCATGAACATCCATGAACGTTCATGAAAAGTTTCATGAAAGCCCATGGACATCCATGAAATGTTTCATGAACGCCCATGGAATAATTGCTGCTTCTAGCACTGCACGAAAGGGAACACAGTCTCGCAAGTCTACTCGTAGCGTTCGTCTTCTTACGTTTGACTTGACCAATAGGCTACCCGGTCGACTGGCGGGCTAGCGGCTGCTCCTCGATTCTCGTGGGGGTATGCATGAGAACATTGCGAAGACGACCCTGTATTGTACGGCGTGTCTGCCATCTCTCTGCGATCTCCACAGCTACTCAGCGCCAGCGATAATGCAAACCATGCGAGGGCGGGACGCCGAAGCGTCGACGCGTCGGCGGAAAACCCGAGGATACATGGGGATATGTCCCCGCCCCCCCCCAAATTGAACAAAATTACCCCGATTTTCGACTATGTAGAGTACAGTAGGCCTACCTAACTAACTGAGTGTCTTTAATTTGTGTTCACGACACTACGGCTTCGAAACGCACCTCACCTACCTCACTCGGCAATGGCTAGGTACCGGTTGGAAGCGTTTTTCCCTTTCGCAATCCTCCACCCGTCCATTATCCGACGGTTCGCCAGATCGGGTCTGGCTGTGATGGGACACCCATTCATTGCTGAACGCGACGAGCTGGCGGTGGAGGCCGTCGGCGAGGTTGTTGTGCCCGACCGTTTGGCTTCTCCCGCGGCTCTGCTGATGGGTGGAGGATGGTGTCCACCACTAACTGTTCTTTCGGCTTGGAGCAGATGCACCTTGAGCCCGCCGTGTGATTCATCTCAATTATTATAAGGGTAGTTATTTTTTATTTTTTCATTATTTTTCATGGAATTCCATGAAACTTTTCATGGAAGTGAAAGGAGTTCCATGAAAAGTTTCTTGGAAGTCCAATGAAGCCCATGCAGGCATTTCATGGAGACCAATGTCGAACACAGCCAAGGCTCATTGTCGGCATTTATCAACCAAGTTGGCGTCACTGGAATATTTCTTGAACGTCCATGAAATGTTTCATAGACTTCCATGATGAAATATTTCATGGACTTCCATGGACTTCCATGAAACATTTCATGGAAGTCAATGGACTGGTTTCATGGAAGACCATGGACGTCCATGGACTTCCATGAACTTCCATGAAATATTTCACCAAAAAATACTATAATGTAGACGACTGCTTCGAACGTGGGGTGCAATTTC